AAATACTGTTTTACAATGGTTTTTATGCGTGATATATATACAGGGTTACCCACAAAGGATGAGACTGTAAGGACGACCTGAGATTCATAAAATATGACGATGGCAATGTTAAATTAAGTCTTCTGCCTTGTATATTGTGTTGCCATCTATTTATCGACATGGCAACCAAATAAAACCAGTTGAAGAGAATCCTTTATATAAGACAGTATAAATTCTGTACAGTTATCTCTGAAGTCTCAATCTTTGTGGGTAACCCTGTACAATCCTCGAAAATATTTTTAAAGCACAGTACATAAACCTGTTTAAGACATAGTTAAAGACAAATAAACATTTCTTTTTAAAATTTGAGACAATCAAATAACTTTTAAATGATCATTTTTCAAAATTTTAGGGAGCTGTCCCTTTCTTGAATACCTGAATACAACTACACAAGGTCTAGTATTCGACTAGCTACAGCAGGAATCCATCAAGGTTTATATTGCTGAAATATTGGCACAAACACCTTACTAACCCAGCTAACCGTAGAGATAATTATTACACCTTTATTTATAAATTATCATTATTATTGTTTTGTTGGGATTCAAGCATTTTTCAATTTATTCTCCGTAAAATTATAAAAATCGTCAAAAGATTTATGTAAAAAACGACCTTTTCTGCGTCTAACCGGTTAATCTTAGGAAACGCCTTATGTTACCCGCCAGTGGCAAATGTAATATTTTTTATGATACATCGCTCCATGTGTTATGGTTCTTTAAAAGTAATTGAGTCTTTGTCACAAACTCTGAATTCATAATCCCTAATCTTAGTTAGATTAAATTAGATAATTTAAGTTCGAAATATTAAAGGTTCACACCATCAGCTTTCAAAGATATAAGAGTTTTAAGATGGAGTTTGCGACACAGACTCAATTTTTTCCCAGTAAATTTTGTTCATTTTATGTGATTTCGGTTCCTTTTCCTAAAATTTTAATTATAACTATTTTTAACTGCAACAGAAAATCTATTATACCCCCTAAAAATCTAGATAACAAATAAGATTATTTTATTCTATATTATGTCATACTTCTATGAAGTTCAAAAATATCTAACATTATAAACAGATCCAAACTGTCAAACGAAAAGTAAGAAAATGAATTAAAAGTTTGAATTTTGCTGAAAATGATTTCCAAGAACCCAGTTTTCTTGTTTCCTGCCCTGACAGTTTTCTTTATCTAGGATATTAAATAGGTTCCCAGTTAGAAAACAAACTTCTAAACTTTTCAAATTAAATGAAAGATATAATAAAAGATTGATTGACAATAAATTAAAAATAAAAGGAAAAATAAAATATGAAATGAGATTGGTCTTTTTGTTTCGTTGGTAGATATTTAGTACAATAGGTAGATAGATAGATAAATAGAGAGAGAGAAATATAGCTTGATATAGATATATATATATAGATAGATAGATAGATAGATAGATAGATAGATACTTATTAATTTGTTTTGATTGAAGCCTACCATAGTACATGTATTAGTAATTAGGATACATTATACCACATTATACTAATTACTAACTTTGATTCAAGTTTACTAAGTAGTTGTTCACACAGTTGTAGATACTAGAGAGAATTTTCAGATATCTAGATTTTCGTGGATATCGTCAGCCACTCTTATGTGATCATGAACATGTATGGAGAGCAATAATCATGAACATTTATGAAGAGCAATAGAACATGAACATGTATGGAGAGCAATAATCATAAATATGTATAGAGCAATAATCATGAACATGTATGGAGAGCAATAATCATGAACATGTATGGAGAGCAATAATCATGAACATGTATGGAGAGCAATAATCATGAACATGTATGGAGATCAATAATCATGAATATGTATGGAGAGCTATAATCATGAACATGTATGGAGAGCAATGAACATGTACATGTACGGAGAGCAATAATCATAAACATTTATTGAGAGCAATAATCATGAACATGTATGGAGAGCAGTGATCATGAACTTATATGGAAAGCAATGAACATGAATATGTATGGAGAGCAATGATCATGAATATGTATGGAGAGCAATGAACATGAATATGTATGGAGAGCAGTGATCATGAACATGTATGGAGAGCAATGAACATAAACATGAATGGAGAGCAATGAACATGAACATGTAAGGAGAGTACTGATCATGATCATGTATGGAGAGAAATAATCATGCAAAAGTATGGAGAGCAATAATAATGAACTTGTATGGAGAGCAATGAACATAAACATGTATGGAGAGCAATGAACATGAATATGTATGAAGAGCAATAATCATGAACATGTATGGAAAGCATGAATCATGCAAATGTATGGAGAGCAATAATATGAACATGTATGGAGAGCAATGAACATGAATATGTATGAAGAGCAATAATCATGAACATGTATGGAGCGCAATGAACATGAATATGTATGGAAAGAAATAATCATGAACATGTAAGGAGAGCAATGCACATGAACATGTAGGAAGAGCAATAATCATGAACATGTATGGAGAGCAATAATCATGAACATCTATGGAGAGCAATGCACATGAACATGTATGGAGAGCAATGATCATGAACACGTATGGAGCGCATGATTATGAAAATGAATGGAGAGCAATGATCATGAACATGTATGGAGAGCAATGAACATGAACATGTATGGAGAGCAATAATCATGAACATTTATGGAGAGCAATGAACATGAACATGTATAGAGAGCAATGAACATGAACATGTATGGAGAGCAATGATCATGAACATGTATGGAGAGCAATGAATCATGAACATTTATGGAGAGCAATGAACATGAACATGTATAGAGAGCAATGAACATGAACATGTATGGAGAGCAATGATCATGAACATGTATGGAGAACAATGAACATGAACATGTATGGAGAGCAATGATCATGAACATGTATGGAGAGCAATGATCATGAACATGTATGTAGAGCAATGAACATATGAACATGTATGGAGAGCAATGAATATATGAACATGTATGGAGAGTGTAATTTTGAAGAAAATTGATGACTTTTGCACTGCCCAGTGCCCAATATATACAGTTCGGCAACAATTTTAGTGAACATTTTCAATTCTACTTTTCAACAATAAAAAAGCTCCTATTCTACCTGCTACACTCCCTCCTATTTTACCTACTACACTTCCTCCTATTCTACCTACTACACTTTCTCCTATTCTACCTGCTACACTCCCTCCTATTCTACCTACTACACTTCCTCCTATTCTACCTGCTACACTTACGTGTAGTCTATCTGCTACACTTCCTCCTATTCTACCTGCTNTATCTGCTACACTTACTCCTATTCCACCTACTACAATTCTTTCTAGTCTTTTCCCACTACACTTCTTCCTATTCTACCTACTACATTTCCTCCTATTCTAACTACTATACTTTCTCCTATTCTATCAAGTACTACCTTCCTCCTATTAACCCTAGGAACTGGATTAAAGATCTTGCAAAGACTGCGAAATAAAAAAATGAATTCATTAAACTTCTTTTTGTTAATTACCAGAACAAACAGAACTTGACTTGTTTATCTTTCCCGTACTTCCCTAGCAGATCCATTTAGCTTTATACACTTTCATACTTTCCAGAAAATACTTTTCAACTTTCTACATTTAATATACTTATTTATTTATTTGTCTTCTCCGTTTCTTTGTTTGTTTTTATGAGACTCAAAATTCTAAAACAACCGCTGCAGAACAGTAAATAAAGAAAATAACAAACATAAAACATTTACTTTAAAGGGAGTGTTCGCGCAATATGAAAGGGGGGTTTATGATAACATCGAAATGAATTCGATGATGATGATACTTCTATCAGTTGGTCTATAATGAAAAAATGGTTAAAAACGACTCATACCGAAGGACGTAGAACCCATACAAATTCACGAAAATGCAATTTTTCCCTCAGATTGTAAATAATTCAAATGAATTTAAAATTAATTATTCAGATATTACACGAATTCAATTTGATGTATCGGTTTAGAGTACATATTAAATAATATTTTTTTTTGTACACGATTTACTTTAAAAAACAATAATTTGGCCGCTAGGCGTCTCTGACCTCGACATTTAATAGGTTCCACATGGGAAAGATACCTGCAGCGGTCCAAAGAGTCGTTGTTTAAAGTCAATCGTAATTTTAAAGAATGCAAAAATATTATGAAATATCAACTATATATAAATGCATCGAATTATATTCGACATTAACAGGTTATAATATCTGAATAATGAGTTTTTAATTTAATTGAATTATTTACAATCTGAATTTAATATTGCAATTTAGTGAATTTGTATAGATCCTACGTTCTTCAGTATGAGTCGTGTTTAACCAGATAGAAGTTAGATTAGTAGAAATCGCCATCGAATTCGCTTCGATGTTAGCCTTTATCCCATTTAATTTTTAGCGAACACTCCCTTGCTTTAACAATCTGTTTAAAAAAGTATATTGCATGCAGTTTTCAACACGTTAGAATACAAATGGGAAACACTTATTCAGATAATAAAAATAATTTCAAAACATCAGAAATACAGATTTGTTCTACCTTGTGAACCATGTATGCTTTATACTAAACACCAGAAATACAGATTTGTTCTACCTTGTAAAACATGCATGCTTTATACTAAACACCAGAAATACAGATTTGTTCTACCTTGTAAAACATGCATGCTTTATACTGAACACCAGAAACACAGATTTGTTCTACGTTGTAAAACATGCATGCTTTACACTGAACACCAGAAATACAGATTTGTTCTACGTTGTAAAACATTTATGCTATATACTAAACACCGGAAATACAGATTTGTTCTACGTTGTAAAACATGCATGCTTTATACTAAACACCAGAAAAATTCAGCGTCTTAAAAACCTTGAGTTTCTACATCAATGTGAATCGGACAGGAGAGGGTTACTTAAAATTAAATCGACGTCTCTTCAAGTGCTGAAAACCAAATGTATGTTAGTTTATTATGATATTCTATAAGTTAAAAATGATACAATATAGAGGATAATGAAATTTAATCCATGGACTGTTGATCCAATCAGCCTCCATCAGTCCAACAGTTCAGGAATATTTAAATACTTGTTTATTAGATCTTGGGATTATCAAGTTTGATGCTGATATTCCTAGGTCTGCTCTGCGGTTTCAGAATCTCTCTTCCCCACTCTCAGCTGTCCAAAGCTCCTGGAGAAATATAGAATCATTGATAAGTTCAGAAACTTTCAATTATCAGTTCAGTTCAAAAACACATATATTTCAAAGTTTGAACTGAACATGATTCAAGGGATAAACTGAACATGTCTATCTCAAGGATAAACTGAACATGTCTATCTCAAGGATAAACTGAACATGTCTATTTCAAGGATAAACTAAACACGTTTCAAGGATAAACTGAACATGTTTCCATGATAAACTGAACATGTTTAAAGGAATGAACTGAACATGTCTATTTTAAGGGTAAACTGACCATGTTTATCTCAAGGTATGTACTGAACTTATCTCTTTCAAGGATAAACTTAAAATCTTCATATCATATATTTTATGTCGATTTTAAAATGTTAATTAATCATCATGATCATGTCTATTTTAAGCAAAGAGAATAGAATATATATTAGAGGAGAATTTAGACAATCTCTCGGTATAAATTTTTTCAGTCCCTTTCAGCCTGAAAGTATGTTCCCTAGGCTATCCATTTCAATTTCGAATTGTTTAAAGCGGTTAAATATACTTTATAAAATGAATTAGGTGAATAAAAACATCAATTGATTTATAGTTATAATGGAAAATCATCGCTTGTAAAGTGAAAGGCATAGAGTCTATGTAAAATGATCATTGGTCGATTATGAAACCAGCCTATTTCATAATTTGGTTTTCGTTAAATATTAATTTTAGATTTTCTTTAAAATGATGTTCCAGGGCCCAAAAGGTTATATAGCGCAAATATGTGAAGTACACCTGCAGTATGGAAACAGTACAACAAAATGGCCGTTTTACACTTTTTTCTAGTAAATTCCTCTCTAATATATATTCTATTCTCTTTGATTTTAAGGTATGACCTAATCATATCTATTTCAAGGTATAACCTGATCAAGTCTATTTCAAGGTATGACCTGATCATGTCTATTTCAAGGTATGACCTGATCATGTCTATTTCATGGTATGACCTGATCATGTCTATTTCAAGGTATGACCTGATCATGTCTATTTCATGGTATGACCTGATCATGTCTATTTCAAAGTATGACCTTATCATGTCTATTTCATAATATGACCTGATCATGTCTATTTTAAGGTATGACCTGATCATGTCTATTTTAAGGTATGACCTGATCATGTCTATTTCAAGGTATGACCTGATCATGTCTATTTTAAGGTATGACCTGAACAGTATATGAACTGAAAATTTATTTTTCAATATTTTCTATCCGGTTAATTGAACTTTTCGATATTTTATGGGTAGCCTGGGTGTAGTATGGTTTACCTGGTGGCTCGGATATATCCAGATCGTTTATCTTCTCTCCTCTCCTCATCTTCCTCTTCCTGACTCTTCTTGAATTTTCCTGCGTATTTCCTGTGAACAAATCAGATTTTTAATTGTTCTCTGATTCAAAAATGTTATTTTACGTAAATTACAAGTTTTTATGTTATTGTTACTGTTCATTTAGTGCATGTACGTTAAATAAGCAAAATACGTTAAAACCTTGCGGGTTTTAACGTACTTTTAGCGAAAATGTTCAAAAAGGTTTCAAGCTGAGAAAAGAATGAGAGACAGATAGAAAAACAAACAGATAGATAGATAGATAGATAGATAGATAGAAGATATGAAAGTAAAGAAATGTTTACCGTAGTAGATTTCTGTAACTTTCCAGAGTAAAATCGTCATTATTTCCACCCCTCTTCATAGCACTGAACTTCCTAAACAGATTCTAGGTTATTCAGAATATATTTCAACTTCCTAGACAGATTCTAGGCTATCTAGAATATATATCAACTTACTAGACAGATTCTAGGTTATTCAGAATATATTTTAACTTCCTAGACATATTCTAGGTTATCTAGAATATATATCAACTTGCTAGACAGATTCTAGGTTATGTAGAATATATATCAACTTCCTAGACAGATTCTAGGTTATTTAGAATAAGTTAAACTTCCTAGACAGATTCTAGGCTATTCAGAATAAAATTCAACTTCCTAGAAAGATTCTAGGTTTTTCAGGATATAATTATACTCCCTAGACAGCTTCTAGGTTATTCAGAAAATAATTCAACTTCCTAGACAGATTCTAGGTTATTTATATAATTCGGCTTCCTAGACACATTCTAGGTTATTCAGAATATAATTATACTTCCTAGACAGATTCTAGGTTATTCAGAATATAATTCAACTTCCTAGACATATTCTAGGTTATTTATATAAGTCGGCTTCCTAGACACATTCTAGGTTATTCAGAATATAATTATACTTCCTATTCAGATTCTAGGTTATTTAAAATATAATTCAACTTCCTAGACATATTCTAGGTTATTCAGAATATAACTATACTCCCTAAACAGATTCTAGGTTATTTAAAAATATCATGCTTACCTAGCAAATTCAATATTGAAAGATTAAAATCCATTAAAATCAAACAATAAAGCAAACATTTTCTGTGTTATGTTTAGTATATACATACTTTGTTTATAGTGATAGCCGGAGTAAGTTTGATTTGAACACTTACAAAAATAATTAAAATTAATTGTTAACAAAATTAAGTTATCAAAATTAAAACCATCATAGGCAAAACTTAATGACTATCGAGTTGAACTATTTCTCTCTCCGATTCAAGTTAACGAGAAGTGATTTAACTTATTTTACTTGGTACTAACCTTAAAAGAGATCTGTAAACGTTAAAGTTAGGATCTGCAGCACTTCTCTTCATCCTGACAGTTGGTAGAGCAACCAGCTCCTTCTTCATTCTCATGGAGGGGAGAGCAGAGTATCTCTTTATCCTGTAGCTGGGGATAGAACCATTCTCCTCCTCCTCCTCAGCTCTATACAAATATATATATATATAGAGGGGAGAGCAGAGTACTTCTTAATCCTTTAGCTGGGGATAGAACCATTCTCCTCTGCGGTGAAACTTATAAAACTGTGGAATCCGTAGACGACTGTTAGACTCAAGTTATGATTTAAATAGTCCGATGAACATGACGCACAGCAATTGTGCAGTTTACACAGACCCATTTATATTAACAAGTGAATTGCAAACTTATGATTGATTAAATCTCGACTTTTTATTTCACAGTTTTAGGGGTCACACTGTATTTTTGGTTAAATTGTTTAATTTGAGGTTTATGATAATTTCACGCTCAACTGTCTTACACAGTAGTTTATATACACTACACACAATCCAGTTTAATCTAGATCTTACTTCAAAATCAAGATTTAAGATAATAATATTTTTGAAAAATAGATCTTTCTTCTTTCCACTATGTAGTTTTTACTTGCAACGTTAATTTACTATTGTTTTGGTAGCCAGCACTAGTTATCTAAATTTAACCAGTTAACATTTGTTTCAATCATAAGATTAACATGGTTTCACCAATCTATTTTGACGGACTAGTTGTATCTAGTTCTTACCAAAAAATTTTAAGCTAGACGAGTTTTTTACTAGATTTGGCCTATTTTCAACTAGTTTCGATAACGCGTTCAACGAGCTTTAACTATAGTTAACGAGTTTTAACTATATTAAACGATTTTAACTATATTCAACGAGTTTTAACTTTATTAAACTAGTTTTAAAAACATAAAACTAGTTTTAACTCTATTCAGCTAGTTTTAACTATATTAAACCAGTTTTAAATATATTTAACTAGTTTTAACTGTAATCAACGAGTTTTGAATAGTTAAGTTTAATTAGTTACGACTATATTTGACAAGTTTTAACAAGTTTAGCTATAATTTGACTATCGTTTAACTAGTTACATCTATATTTCACGAGTTTAAACTGAATTCAACGAGTTTTATCTTTATTCAACGAGTTCTAACTTTATTCAACGAGTTTCATCTATAATGTTATAAGTTTAGCCTGTTACAACCAGTTTTAACTAGTTTCCACTATATTTACTATGTGGCTGTTACAACCAGTTTTAACTAGTTTCCACTATATCTACTATGTGGCTGTTACAACCAGTTTTAACTAGTTTCCACTTTATCTACTATGTGGCTGTTACAACCAGTTTTAACTAGTTTCCACTATATCTACTATGTGGCTGTTACAACCAGTTTTAACTAGTTTCCACTATATCTACTATGTGGCTGTTACAACCAGTTTTAACTAGTTTCCACTATATCTACTATGTGGCTGTTACAACCAGTTTAAACTAGTTTCCACTTTATCTACTATGTGGCTATTACAGCTAGAAATAGCTAAAATTCTATACTTAAAGGGACCGTTCACTTGTTTGGGTAATTTCAGAGTAAACTAAACAGCCTATCAGCTATTCATTAGTATTAGTCTTACTTTTCAAAGACATCTGTGGCCGGAGAAAAAGCCGATTTTTCGTTCAGAATTTGAGCGCAAAGGGACAGTCCCTCTCTATAGACACTATTTGATGTTTTTTCTCAGTATGTTGTGAATCAAAATAAATTTCGAATAGAAAATTAAACTGTAGTATCTACTCGTTAATTGTAAATGTCATAATTTTTTTAATTTTTTTGTTTATTAACTTCCTATTTCTAAAATAAACTATTTTATCGCATTAAAGATTTTGTATTGCCTGTGTAAAAAGATGGATTGAACGCGGCATAAAAAATGAAAAGTTGTGCACATACGGGGGAAAAAATCTACAAAATCTACGAACCAAAATAAGAGTAATGATTAATTGATTGTCGTAGAGACGTCGTCTTTGTAACACTTTTTACGTGTTTTAATAAGAAAAATGTGAATTTCTTGATAACTCAAATGTCAAAAGTTTTCATATTTTAGTATATAACAACGAACACATGATGACATTAAAATATGATAAATTTAAAATTTATTGGGCTGCTGTTACTGAAAAAAACGTCAAATAGTGTCTATAGATAGGGACCGGTTCTTTCCGCTCAAATTCTGAACGAAAAATCGGCTTTTTCTCCGGCCACAGTTGTCTTTGAAAGTAAGACTATTACCAATCAAGTGCGAATAGGCTGTTTAGTTTACCCTGAAATTACCCAAATAAGTGAAAGGTCCCTTTAAGTAAATCAACTCTACAAAAACCGATTATTTTCAAATATTCCAATTTGTTACCTCGCCATCATTTCTATAAGTTTATTCATGTAGAGATGAGTGAAGGGGCGGAACAATGACGTCATAGAGTAACAGTTTTCTCCGTCCGTCAGACATCGGACCATTTCATCCTCTTTTTCATCCTCAACCTCCTGGATTCAATAATCCGCATTATTATAAAGGGACAGTGCACGTTATTTCAACTGCCCCTTTAAGCCAGATTCATTAAGGTACCATTTAAACCTAGATCTGAGTAATATTGAGAAAATGATAACTTTTTATGTCAGTTTCTTTTTGTTTGTCTCTGCCGCAAAGTCAGATAATAAAAAAATGTCATCAAATGAATGCAGTTTTTATCAATGGTTTTTACTATTCTCTGTGTTTCTCTGTTTTTTCTCTTTCGTCCAAAGGAATTAAGTCTTGCCACAAACTCTGATTTTCTAATCCACATATCTTTGGTGCCCAATATTAGATATTTCAATCTATGCATTCTGTTAGATCAAACAATTTAAGCTTGAAATATCACATGTTTACACCATCAGGTTGCAAAGATAAAGGGATTAGAAAATTTAAGGTTGATTCACAAACACAATTACTTTCGGATTGATAAACAAGGAAAGCTATTGTGTTGATCGTTCTCTTTAAATCATAAATGAAGGTTGACTTGAATTAAGTTAACAAATCCTAAGGGATCCCAGGAAATGTTGATAAAACTACAGTTTATAGAAGTAAATATCCTCTTTATCATAAAGATTGAAATCGAGGAGGCCTAAAAAAATAGATATAAAAAATAATTAATTTGTGGGACCGCTGAACTGGCTACCAGAGGTTTAAATTTTAATAACCGATTCCTTCATGAATCTTTAACTTGTAATCAGTTGTTCAAATTTGAACAGCGCGGGGGTAGTTTGTTCAGCGTCGTAGCCAAAATTCAAAAAATTCGGTCTCTTGTAAGAAAAAAATGAATGAGTCCAGCTTAAAATAATATATAAAAAATAACAAACTGTTAAATATGGATTGAGAAAGGTTTAGATTCGTTAGATAAGGATCAAAAATTGACAATGAAGGATAAAAAATAAGATCTTGTTAAAATCCTCTTGTTTGTTTTGTTTTGTTGAGAAAATAATTAGGAAGCAGACTGGGGGGACTAATTCTATTTCAAGTTTGGCTTAGGTTTAGAGAGAACAGTGTTGTTAGCTCTTACTCATTAGATCTAGACAACTCAGTTATTGGTTTCAACCTTAGAGGACATCATTAATAATAGAACATGCACCTAGAGGACGCCATTAATAGAACATGAACAGAGGACATCATTAATAATAGAACATGCACTTAGAGGACGCCATTAATAGAACATGAACAGGACGCTACTAATAGAACATGCACAGAGGACGCTATTAATAGAACATGAACAGGACGCTACTAATAGAACATGAATAGAGGACGCTATTAATAGAACATGAACAGGACGCTATAATAGAACATACACTTAGAGGACGCTATTAATAGAATATGAACAGAGGACGCTATAATAGAACATCCACTTAAAGGACGCTATTAATAGAATATGAATAGGACGCTATTAATAGAATATGAACGAGGGACGCTATAATAGAACATCCACTTAGAGGACGCTATTAATAGAATATGAATAGGACGCTATAATAGAACATGCACGTAGAGGACGCTATTAATAGAATATGAACGGAGGACGCTAAAATAGAACATACACTTAGAGGACGCTATTAATATAATATGAACAGGACGCTATAATAGAGCATAAAATTAGAGGACGCTTTTAATAGAACATGAACAGGACGCTATAATAGAACATGCACTTAGAGGACGCTATTAATAGAATATGCACTTAGAGGACACTATTGATAGAATATGAACGGAGGATGCTATAATAGAACATACACTTAGAGGACGCTATTAATAGAACATGAACAGAACGCTATAATAGAACATACAATTAGAGGAAGCTTTTAATAGAACATGAACAGGACGCTATAAGAGAACATACACTTAGAGGACGCTATTAATAGAACATGAACAGGACTCTATAATAGAACATACAATTAGAGGACGCTTTTAATAGAACATGAACAGGACGCTAAAATAGAACATGCACATAGAGGACGCTATTAATAGAATATGAACGGAGGACGCTATAATAGAACATCCACTTAGAGGACGCTATTAATATAATATGAATATGACACTATAATAGAACATGCATGCACGTAGAGGATGCTATTAACAGAACATGAACAGAGGACGCTATGAATAGAACATGAACAGGACGCTATAATAGAACATACACTTAGAGGACGCTATTAATAGAACATGAACAGGACGCTATAATAGAACATACACTTAGAGGACGCTATTAATATAACATGAACAGGACGCTATAATAGAACATACAATTAGAGGAAGCTTTTAATAGAACATAAACAGGACGCTATAAAAGAACATACACTTAGAGGACGCTATTAATAGAACATGAACAGGACGCTATAATAGAACATACAATTAGAGGACGCTATTAATAGAACATGAACAGGACGCTATAAGAGAACATACACTTAGAGGACGCAATTAATAGAAAATGAACAGAGGACAATTATGAAAATTATGGGCGCCATGAGGCTTTAAGTTGTATTAGTAATTCCACAGAAAAATTACACAGTTCTGTTGTTGAAATTTTATTGCTCATAAGGAATCTGAATATGTCTAATTTGCATGGGGGTGGATTTCTAGCAGTTGCAAAGAAATATAGTTACTTGGCTCAAATTCTGATAACCTGATGGTGCAAACCTTTCATATTTCATGTAGCAGAAATTATAGTTTGAAATACCAAAGGTCTGCGACATCAGATTGTAAAAATATAATGATAAATTAACTTGTAGAGCATATGGTGAGTAACTTGTTCTTTTATTCAACATTTTATATTTTTATAACAACTTGGGTTTTGGGGTTACCAACTCTCTTACGATTTCCAGACTTTTATTTCAAAAATACATTTTGCTTGTTTCAATTTAAAAGGAATTCTTGGCAAAATCCTGTTAGATTTATGGTTTAGAGCTTGCTTATTTTGGCTTACAAAGTTGATCTTCTGGTCAAACACACAACGTATTTAAAACGATGAAAACAAAATTTATTCTTATTGGGTTTGGTTTGGTTTTCTATTCTTATTGGGTTTGGTTTGGTTTTAAATTTACCTCGAGGGCGGTCAAATGAGAGTTAACACTTGCTGCATGAAAAAAAAAGTTTTTGTTATTAGTTACAAATAAACCTACATAATTGTTACTAACAGGTGATTTTCTACAATAATATTCATTGGGCAACGAATATATTCTCTTATTAAGCTAGTTTTAAGATTTAATGAAAAACTCAACTTGGAAAGAAATAAAAAAATGTTAATTGTGCAATACACAATTCTAAGGTTTTTTTGCTAGCTAAGGTTTTAAAATTTTAAAGTTCAATTTCATGAAAGAAATTGCTTTTTTGTCAAAAATTCAAATTTGCTAATCCCTATACCTTAGCGATCTTTGATATCTAAGGTCTAAGCCATTGGGTTGCGAAGAAATAGGGATTAAAAAATCAGAGTTTGTCGCAAAGGCTGATTTCCTTCATGTAAACCAAGGTAAAGAGGCAGAAAAGCCTACCTGAGAAAATTCCAATGAGAAGTGTAAAATATAATCCTGTTGTCCAGTAAACCATTTCAGGAGAAGTGGTTTCTTTCTCCTCATCTCCAACCTTTATACAATCCCTGGTACCCGGAGTAGAGTGGTTTCCTGTGTACTTGGAGAGGTTTGAGTACCTGGAGACTAGGACGGATCTAAGAAAATCCAAAGATAATTAATTGTTCCAAGAAAAGTTTCCTCCAGAGGACACTGAACACTTAGGGTTAGATTTACTGGAGGGTGGGGAGGGGGGTCCTAGCCCATTGGTTAATTAAAACGAAACCGAGCATTCATGTTTCTTAAATAAGATTTTTATTCAAGAAAAGAGTTTTTCTAATTCTAGCATGATAAAGAAAATAGTTTTCTCACGCTTCACGATAATGTAGCTTCCGTATTCATAGAATCATTCTCTTTTAAAAAATGGAAACTAAAAACATCTTTAGTGTGGTAATAAATATATGATTTCTTGGTCTTCTACACCTATATCTAATATGTCTTGATCTGCTATACCTATATCTAATATGTCTTGATCTTCTACACCTCTATGTATTATTTATTGATCGTCTATACCTCTATCTATCATTTCTTGATCTTCTATATATTATTTATTGATCTTCCCCCTCTATCTATCAATATTATTTCTTGATCTTCTATACCTCTATATATCAATATTATTTCTTGATCTTCTATATCTCTATATATCAATATTATTTCTTGATCTTCTATACCTCTATATATCAATATTATTTCTTGATCTTCTATACCTCTATCTATCAATATTACTTCTTGACCTTCTACCTCTATTTATCAATATTATTTCTTGATCTTCTATCCTCTGTCTATCAATGTAAAAATTCATATCATACTCACAATGTTTGTTTAGCCTAAATATATATATATTAAGTATTGGTGAACCTACAGGGTGTCAATTATAAATGCTCTTTATACAGAATTATAACAATATATTACATCTTTATGGTATAGAGCAGGAAAGTTAGCATGAAAAGTTTAACAGTTTCTGAAATATTTAAAAAGATGTTTTTACAGATTAAAAGTATTAAAAAAAAAAAATAGATTTGAAGAAAAAAAACCCCCCTTCCCTCTACTTTTTTAAAAACTCCCCCCTCACTTCCCCTAATATACCATGACTGCCAATTTTGGCAGCGAGAACCAGACAAAATGCATTTAATTAATCAAATTCTTTTATTGATGAATATTTATTTAATAATCACAAAAATAAAATTGTATTAAACTACTTCTAATTTATAACAATTATTTAATAATGATGATTAAGTTAGGTATTTTTTTGTCGTATCTATTGAATTTAAAAATAAAAAACCGGATTATTTGTGTACAACAATCCTTAATCTGACAAACAAACAAAAAAAGCTATCATCGCTTTTCTGCCTAGAAAAGATATTAATTTAATTCATTTCCTTTCTTCCATTCCACTGCATTAATCTCCAATAATTATTTTCACGCCACGCGACGCATAAATTTTTTAAATGATAATTACGAACCTTTAACAGTTCTAGGAATTCTATGAAATTTATAAAATATGTCTATATTTATGAGTTTATGTTTTTAAATCCATTTTTGTTTTGAAAAAGCGTATGCTTTATTTTAAACCTCTTTAAAAATAAAAAGACTTTTAAAAACAGTCAAAAGAAAAAAATGTTAAAAAGTGTTTCGTTTTTAAACTTCATGACGGAATCTTTTTGCTGAAAATCAGCACGAAAAAAATAGGGTTTCTGAAAAGTGTATCAGCATAAAATTAAATCTACTTTTTCTGTTTTGATCATTAAATTATTAGAACTGAATACCTTGCCAAATAGATTTATTTTGTCTGTTACTATGGACAATTTAAAGACACGTTCCAGATATGATTTGGTTTGGTTAATTTGTTATAAAGTTTGGTTTGGCATAATTTGCGGAAATTATATGTTTTGGCGCAGACGCCAGTTGAAAACTAGACTTCGTGTAGTAGTTTCATCCCATAGGTCTTTATCCATATCACTAGACTCTGAAAGATCTCATTTTTTTATTTCTATTTTTCTATCGTTTTTACGAAATGATTTTATTTCATTCGTTAGATTAAAGAGATCCTCAATTTAAAGGGAGTGTTCACGAAAAATGAAAATGGGCATAGGCTTAATGCGATAAAAAAGCGCTTTTGATCGCTACTAATCTTACTTCTATCTGTTGCGTCTATAAGGAGAAAATTGTTAAAAACGACTAATACCGAAGAACGCAGTGTCCATACAAATTCAGAAAGATGCAACATTCAACTCGGATCGTAAACAAATCAATTTAATTCCAAACAGATCATTCAGATATTACAAACAGTAGTCATCGATTATTTTTCGACGCATTTGTATATAGTTAATATTTCATAATATTTTTGATTTTGTTTTTTTTTAAATAATTTTCGCTGGCGCTGGATTTTCGAACATTCCTGGAAAATATGAAAATGTCGTCTTCAATATCAAAAATCCTCGAAATAGGAATAAATGTTTTCAAAAGTAGCTCTCAGATCCTGTAAAATACTCCCTTTAAAGTGTTATTTTTCCAATTCACCCAATTCACAAAGGTACCCTTTAATCCTTAATCGGATCAACGACCAGGAAGATTTCGTCATTTTTCTATCTTTAAAAATTTGCTTTTATAAATATTTCTTTAAATATGTTTGATGCATAAATCTACAATTCAGAGAACCCCAATAAATATTCAAAGTATAAAGTATAAAATAGCTCTCGAACCCCCTTGACCAATTTGACTCAACTTTTGATTTGGGAACTTGGTAGAACCAAGAGATTGTTTTCAGACAAAGCTGGGTTCCCAAGTTCGTTTGTAATAAATTTTCAGTTAGAAAAGCAAGGATGACTCAATCATATTTGCACACAGACAATTCTTCACACAAAGTTATGTCGACTGTCGCTTTTGAATATATTTGATAAATCTACGATAAATCAAAATGTTAAAAGATAATATTTTGGAAACAATACTCCCTGGACATCTTATGCCTGGTTTTAAATGTTAAAGGATGTGAGTATTTGCCACAAACTCAAATTATCTCTACATAAATATACTTGCCTCCTCATACTGTAAACCTTTCATATTAACACTGCAAACCAAGATTTGCACGCTCTCAGTCAATAACCGAGCACTAGTTTGCCAATTACTTCTTTTAATTTTACAATTTATATGCCTAGGGCTACAAAAAGTATAAGTAAGTTGGTGAGGTAAAGTCGAAGGCCAGGCGTTGAAAGTCGAGGCTGTCCAAAAATTTGAAGACTAACTTTTAGAGTTGTCAATATCTCAGTGTATTTAAAACTTAAATGATTTGATCTCACAGAATTCAAAGTTTAAAATATATAAGGTCTACGACGTTTGGTTGCAAAGATATAGAAATTGGAAAATATTAGTTTGTGGCAAAGATTCAGCTCCTTTTATTTTGATATTTTCTAAATGTTTAGTTTATCAGTTTAATATTATCCTTACATCAGTCTATTAGCATAAACCTGTATTTGAACCCAGGGAATATGTTTAGAATTTATATATATATATATATTTATATATAAATATATATACATATTATATATGTTTAGAATTTTCAGTTTTCAATTTATCAGTCAGGGTTTTACTAGATGGTCCGACTAGATGGTTTACTAGATGGTCCGACTAGATGGTTTACTAGATGGTCCGACTAGATGGTTTACTAGATGGTCCGACTAGATGGTTTTACTAGATGGTCCGACTAGATGGTTTACTAGATGGTCCGACTAGATGGTTTACTAGATGGTCCGACCTAATAAAGTGAAGAATAATGTTTACAAAGATCTTGTTGCGGGCAAAAGCAGATCTTTAAAAATTTAAATATAAAAGAAAAATGTTTTAAATTTAATTCACAACAGAATATTCCAGCTTCTTCAATGGTGGCAGGCACTCCTCCCCCTGAAAATTCACTGTGATCTAAAGGAATCTAGCTCTCAAGCAAATATCAATGAGAATTTTGCCGATTACTTCTTAAAAACCAAAGCTAACAACAAGTGCTAATTAAAGTGCTAAAATGTACATGTAAAGGGCTACAGAAGAGAATAAGCATGAGTTAGAGCGGTAAAATCAAATCCTTGCGACACTTCAAAGTCGACCCTGCTTTACAAGTTTTATTTTAAGCAGACGGAATCTGTGTGTTGTGTAAACGTAAAGGAACTAATCTTTGCCACAAACCTAAATTTTCTAGGCTCTATATCTTCGCAACCTGATGGTGTAAACCTTTGATTATTTGATATTAAATAATTCATAGTTTGAAATATCTAAGGTCTGCAATATTGGGTTGCTCAGATAAAAGGATTAAAAACTCAAAGTTTGTGGCAAAGACTAAATTTCTTTACAAGGGAAAAGGAGAGAAATGAGAAAAAATAAAATTAGAAAATGTAAAATCCTTTTAAACCATATCATTTTTTTTATCAAATTCTAAATTTCTTCGAATCTAAGAATCATAAATATGTTTTTTTTATTTTTATTAAAATATTTTATTTATTATCCAGTAAATAATTGTATTGTAAAACTCGTGTCCTGCAGATCTACAGGATCTATCATAGAAACAATAAACAAAAATAATGTACTGCAGATCCCATAAACTGCAGAATATACAGGTCTTCATGCAGTTTAAAAACAAAACAAGATTATAGCAAAATATTAAATCAAGCAGCAATGCCGCAATGGTTTTTAGCGATTTAGGAATATTTGACAACAAAAATAAGTGTGCGCAGTCCCTCAAACAAAACAAAAAATCCGTGAAATTTTATGAAATTTTCCAATAATTTTTTAAAGAAATTAAAAATTTAGATTTTTTGGTCAACATTTGTAATCAATATTTAGCTAGAAAAATTAGGATATTTCCGTCAAAATTAACCACATAAAGTTTCAAGGGTACCGTTGTGAATCGGACATTCTACTCTTTGTGTGAATGAAATTATGTTTACAGTCCCTTTAATCTATTTTTATTAGGGATAACCACAGCTGTATATTGTACTGGGTGGATACAAGTCCCTAAACTAATCAGCGAACTAGCCTACCCTAAGTTCTTAGCTAAACCTTACTAATCAGCTAACTAGCCTACCCGGAGTTCTTAGCTAAACCTTGCTAATCAGCTAACTAGCCTACCCGGAGTTCTTAGCTAAACTTTACAATGTTCTTTTCTAAAGTAAGTCATCTCTAAACATTTAATATATTAATTTTTATCAATTCTTTAGAATATAAAAAATTAACATTTTATATTTTAGGTTTTTCTTATTGTTTCTTCTGTTATTTTGGCAACACAATCATTTCCACAGGTAATACTTTAAAAATCGTTTTATTTTCAATAATTTAATTTTTCAAATCTCTCTATATATATTTTATTTTTATCAAGTTGGCGTAAAAACAAAAACAAATGTGATAAGAAGCAGTACAGAATAACAAAAAATATTCAATTTTAAACAGCTAGGGCACAATAATCTTTCTAAAGGGAACACCTGTAATTTATCAATAATTTAAGTTTTCAAAGTAGATTTAAGAATATTGTTTATTTAGATTAAGCTTCAAAGTAGATTTAAGAATATTGTTTATTTAGATTAAGCTTCAAAGTAGATTTAAGAATATTGTTTATTTAGATTAAGCTTCAAAGTTTGCTTCCTGTGGATCCTATTGAAGAATTTGACACCTGGGCCTGGGGAGAACATCCTAATGGTCTGGGATACAAAGCAAGGGATGAGAGAGGGTTTAGAATTTTCATTATTTTTTTGGTTTTCTGTGTTTTTTCAAAGTTTTTTTTTTTGGTGTAGGAATGGCCATCCTCTTGAGCTCTGTTTGAAATATCCAGAATTGGCTCCAACTGCAGCCTGTAGTGGTAATTTATTTTTATAGTTTGCGACATCATATTTCATAGTATATGATTTATATATGTATATATTATATCTGTTGAGGAGTGTCTTCTAAACCCTGATCTCGCAAACAGTCTTCTCTGTGATGNCATAATATCCTTCAATTGATCCATAATACCCTTCAATTGATCCATAATACCCTTAAATCAAAAGGTTGACTTATATTTTCTTAACCCCAATTTTTTTCTTTACCCCATTGAGATAACGTTTAAAGGAACGGAGTCTTTGCCACAAATTTGAATTGTCTAATCTCAATATCTTTGCAACCTAAGGGTGAGAACCTGATAGTTATTTTCAACTTAAATCATCTGATCTAACAGAATTCATGGTTTTAAATATCTAAACATTAATTGGGGATTTTTGCAAAGATAAGGATTAGAAAATCTAGTTTGTGACAAAGACTCAATTCCGTTCTATTATCTCTAAATTTTGCTCAAACTGTGTAAACAATGTTGAGTTTTTGTTGGTATTGCATTTAGAAAATTAACAAATATCTTTAATTACTATTTCATCCATCTGTTAGGAACGGATTATCAGTAGATCAATGTCTGAAAAATCCACATCTTATAGATACTCCTGCTTGTAAATTTCCAGCTAAACTTTGTATGGATGTTCCAGAATATGCCACTAAACAAGCTTGTGCAGGTAACCAGTATCCTGCAGAGTTTTGTGCTACAGATATCAGGATTGCTCTGCTAGAAGGATGTGCAGGTAACCAGATTCCTGCAGAGTTTTGTGCTACAGATATCAAGATTGCTCTGCTAGAAGGATGTGCAGGTAAATAGTTTCATGCAGAGTTTGTGCTACAGATATCAAGATTGCTCTGCTTAAAGGTTGTACAGGTAATTAGTTTCATGTAGAGTTTGTGCTACAGATATCAAGATTGCTCTGCTAGAAGGATGTGCATGGTATAATATTTTCTGCAGAGTTTGTGCTAAAGATAGGATTACTCTGTTAGAAGGATGTGCAGGTAATTAGTTAATGCAGAGTTTGTGCTACAGATATCAAGATTACCTTGCTTAAAGGTTAGATCTGTGTTCAGGATCTCAAACATTTTTTCTAAAATAACTTCATAAACTAGCTTTCCTTTTTGTCTTCATTTTTTTGCTCTCCCTTGGCTTTCCTTTTGGTTTTTCATTGGCTTTCTTTTTGGCTTTTCTTTTGGATTTTAATTTTGCTTTTCTATGGCTTTCCTTTTGGCTTTCCCTTTGGCTTTCCCTTTGGATTTCCTTTGGGCTTCTGTTTCATTTCAAATCCAAGGCTATTTATAGACTTACGTTGCATATTATAAATACAATTTAGATGCTCTCTACCCCAAAGAGTTCTGTGTTGCCAACCCTGTTCTTGTATCTGCTAAAGGATGCCAGAAGTATTTAGCAGATATTTGTTCTTTGGATGTTAAGCTAGCATTGAGTCCGCCATGTGCAGGTTTAAATCTTATCTCTTTGAACTATTTTTCTCAGCAAATGGCCCATCAATGAAAATGATAGAGACCTAAACCAAATATTGTGGCACTTGGCGTCTAAAGTTGAATGGAGCGCATGCTCAGGGCACAGCTTTAAGATTCAAAAGTTTTGCTCTCAGGCACTGAGCAATGAAGAAGTTTATTTTGACAAGATGACATCTTATTTTGTCGGCTAGAAGAGCAAACTGTTATAATGATGACATGATGTCATCGAGTATTTTTGTGGTGACAGGATAGATCCTTTCTTTTTTATGTAATGCAAGAAAATAAACGGTGGTTGAATGTTCGAATCAATTCATTATTAAAGGTTTCTGGAAAGTATGAGAAGGCCTACTTTTATATTTTATGAGTAATCACAAAATTCTGAATGTTTTCAGATGTCCTGTACCCTAAAAAGTTCTGTATGTCCAGCCCTGTTCTTGTTTCTGAGAAAAGATGTCACAAAATTCTTCTTTGCTTATCTGACATTTGTTCTTTGGATGTAAAGCTAGCAACAAGTCCTCCATGTACAGTGTACACTGTACAGGGTCAAATTAAAAGTTTGCCCAAAATCTATAATATCTATTTTTATAATGGTTTGGCAATTTATAGAAGCACACTTATTTCATCCTTTAAAATACACAAACAGTAGACCAACTGGTTAATAGATGCTTATATCAGTTCAGATTAACGCAATAATTGGATGGGTATAACTAAAACTATTGGAATAATGTTAGGACTTATCTAAATGTTTTGATTATATGATTAAAATATTAGATAAATAATGCTAAAAATGTTTATGACTTTCCCCAAAAAATGCCTTAACCTCTGATATATATTTAGATGCCTTATACCCTAAAAAGTTCTGTGTGTCCAACCGTGTTCTTGTTTCTGCTACAGGATGTCAAAAATATTTATCTGATATTTGTTCTTTGGATGTAAAGTCCTTCATGTGCAGGTTTAATGATATTTCTTGAATTACAATCTGAACAATTTTTAACAAGTTTCCAAGTTTTTCAACTTAATCTCATAAAATCCAAGAAATTCTAATACAGCACATAAAAATGTGGTTTCATCAACTTTCTTTTAAATAGTTGAATTAAAGTCCTCATGAGAAAACAAATTGTGATAATTTATGCTTCAACGTTTGTCAGAAGTATTTGTTTTTTCACTTAATCAAATCCAACCCTTCTTCTCTGATTTGATCTGGTATCTCTGCCCAGTTGTGATGAGGTAGCTCTTCCTTTGAAACTGCTGTATCTGCATCTTCTTAACAGAATGACGTCGAATCTTATTATACCTGAGTCAACCATCTTCCTCCCACACAACACATCATAATTCAAACTTATTCATTTCACCAATTCACTCATTCATCAATTCATCAATTCATTTATCCTTGAAGAACCAAAAAATTTGGCTGGTGGGACTTGATTTCGTAGTCCAAAATAAAGAACACAAAACTCCTAAAATCGTGACCCATATCCCGGTTGATCAATTTATCAATTCATCAATTCATCAATTCATCCTGTCATCAATTCATCCTGTCATCAATTCACCTATTCATTAATTCATTAACTCATCAATTCATTAATTCATCTATTAATCATTGAATCATTGATTCACAAATTCATCAATTAATCTATTCATTAATTATCAATTCATCTATTCATTAATTTATCAATTCATCTATTCATTAATTCATCAATTCATCTATTTATTAATTTATCAATTTATCTATTCATTAATTTATCACTTCATCCTTTCATTAATTTATCACTTCATGTATTCATTAATTCATCAATTCGTCAATTCATCAATTCATTAAAACGTTAATTCATCTATTCATTAATTCATCAATTCATCAATTCATTAAAACGTTAATTCATCTATTCATTAATTTATCAATTCACCAATTCATCAAAACGTTAATTCATCTATTCATTAATTTATCAATTCAATAATTCATTAAAACGTTAATTCATCTATTTATTAAAACGTTAATTCATCTATTCATTAATATATCAATTCATCAATTCATTAAAACGTTAATTCATCTATTCATTAATTTATCAATTCATCAATTTATTAAAAACGTTAATTCATCTATTCATTAATTTATCAATTCATCAATTTATTAAAAGGTTAATTCATCTATTCATTAATTCGTCAATTCATCAATTCATTAAAACGTTAATTCATCTATTCATTAATTTATCAATTCATTAATTTATTAAAACATTAATTAATCTATTCATTAATTTATTGATTCATCTGCAATTCATTAAAACGTTAATTCATCTATTCATTAACTTATCAATTCAACCTTTCATTAAACGTTAATTCACCAATTCATTAATTTATCACTTCATCAATTCGTTAAAACGTTAATTCATATATTCATTAATTTATCAATTCATTAAAAATGTTAATTCATCTATTCATTAATTTCTCAATTCATCAATTCATTAAAACGTTAATTCATTTATTCAATAATTTATCAATTTTTCAACTTTTTAACTCAGCTGTTACAAAATGAATTGAACCATGGCTGAATATTTTCTATGATTTGTTACTATGCAGGAAAATAAATATAGACTTGACTCTAAACAAATTGTTTCTGGGTTCATTGCCAAAACTGTTAACACAAACTTCACGTAAAATAACAATATTTTTTATGATTATTGGATTTTTTTGTTAGATTTTAAAAGTTACAAGTAAAATAAAAACATACGATTATAATTTTTGAATTAGGATGTAAAATTCAAGAATATTCATTAAACACGAGTTACAAGATTTTTTTTCTGGTTCCATTAGAATTTATTTCGGGGTTCGAAAATTTTAATCTTTAATTTGATTTCCAAGAACTGCATGAACCACATTTTTTGCCAATTTATCCCTTTTCTGTCATATTTTTAACTGGCATGCAATGAAGATGATTATAAAAAAATTGTATTTAGATGCAACCTATCCTAAAGATTTCTGCGTGGGAAACCCTGTACTTATCTCAGCTAAGGGATGTGAGAAGTTTAAAGGAGACATATGTACTTCAAGCCTTGAGTTAGCTGAGAGTTCTTCTTGTTCAGGTGCAGCAGATCAGATAACATTTCTACAGTGTGTTTCTAACGGAGATGTTTGCAGAGCAAAGATTTGTGATAAACAAGTTCCTAAGAAAACCTTCTGTAAAGCTTAATCTATATTTGTAAGATATCTTCTCATATGTAACACTGTATAGGTGCAGCTGATCAAATTACAAGAAAGCAATGTACATCCAATGGAGATATCTGCAGAGCTAAAATATGTGATAAAAGAGTTCCAAATAAAGATTTCTGTAAAGCTTGATCTTGGAGATTGGTTTCTTAATACCTTTAAACCTATAGATACAGGTTTCTGAAGCCTATTCCTGTAAGGTTTCTCGAAACCTAATCCTGGAGACAGGTTTCTGAAACCTATTCCTGGTTAAAGGTTTCTAAAACCCTATAGTCCAACATGGAATCTTGAATCTGGAATCAGTGGTTTAAAAATGTCCTTGTGTTAAAATTCTCATCAGAATCTGTTAATTAATATTGCTGTTAAACCTGAATAATTATTTAGAAAAAATAAACGAAAATTATATTATTCTGTTTGTTATAAATATGATGTCAAATCAGCGAAGAAACAAGCAAGAAAAAGAAAGAATTTTTAAAAATTAAAAAATGAAAGAAAAAGATAGACAGTGCAAAAGAAATAACGAAAGAAATGGTAAAGATTATAAGACAGAAGAAAAAAGAATAAAGCTGCAGTAAAAGAAAAGGAAAGAGCAATATATATAATTAAGAATATAAAATAAAATCTATTTCAAAACATAAAATAAATGAAAGAAAAAGGAAAATAGAAAAAATAGGTATTTTGTGACAAATTTTCTATGAAAAAAATTGATTTCATAAAAATTGATTATTTCACGAATGAACAGAGTGTAAAGTTGAAAATGAAAATATGATGATATCTGCTTGCATGAAATATTCTCTATCTGTAGCTAAAGGCCTTGAAAGTTTTGGATCCAGTGGAATTTGTTAAAATAAAGTTTGCATCTTTTTATTCAACATGGAATAAAGAGAGTTAGTTCCCTTTACACAATTGCTTTTAATTTGAAAATCCATATAAGTAATTAATATTGTTGTAAACTTAAACTTGGTTTCACAGGACACAAGGATTAGTTCTAGAAACTTCCTCTTAGCTGATTATACTGTTAGATATATATGGCGTACCACGTCATAATGGATTAAACAAACAAATCCATTCAATGGTTGACTCTGTTTAATGTAGGTTAGGTATTGATTGGAATTGAACCAACACCCTTCCGGTTTTTGTGCACAAAGCCCTAAAAAATATCTTTTTTCAAATCTAAATATTTATTCTTTGCTAATACATTTAAGGATTTTAACGGGTTTACATTACTTACAAGATATAGCATTACGTTTTCATGGTTTTCATAATATCTGCAAATTACATAGAAAGAGCTAGGTGCACTTTCGTAGGGTCTGGTTCAGGGAGAGGCACAGGATAAGGTTCAGGTTCAGGATCAGGATTAGGGTTAGGTCCAGGATATGGTACATTTTTAGGATCAGACTGCTTGAGCTGGTGGGTTTTCAGGTCCCTCTTCTTTGTCAAAGAAGTGCTACTCAGGGACCTCACCCCAGGCTGGATGGTTCTCTGGGACCTCTCCTCCAGCTGGGGGGTTCTAAGGAACCTCTCTCCAGGCTGGATGGTTCTCAGTGATCTCTCCTCCAGCTGGGGGGTTCTAAGGAACCTCTCTCCAGGCTGGATGGTTCTCAGGGACCTCTTATCAGACTGAAAAAAACTTCAAAAATATCAAAATCAAAAAATTAATTTTCAATCGTCAAAACTATTCTGATGCGGCAATTAATTCTATACCGTTAATTGAAGCATAGACCAACAAATTCTACGCACATTTTTTAAATATTCCTGGTGTATTAATTAATGTCGCAAATAATTCCGGGTGTATAGAACTTTAATCTTTTTTGTTGATTATATGAAAGCCATAGAATTTTTCTTATAACTTATAAGATACAAGATCAACAAACGAGCGATTAAGGATGAAAAAATTCTAACACGTGCACATTGATCCAACCCAAATAAGTTTCAGCATAATTGGATGATAATTCATCTCGTTATATATTCTGTATGTGTACTATGCAGCTTGCTCTAGCTGATTAAAAGTCTGTACGGTACTTTAAAAGAACCGGAGTTTACAATATGAACCCGCATGTAAATAACATGTGAGCCAGACCATGGTGTACGGGGACCGTGTAGGGTTAACATATCGTGTACAAGGACCGTGTAGGGTTAACATATCGTGTACGGGGACCGTGTAGGGTTAACATATCGTGTACAAAGGCCGTGTAGGGTTAACATATCGTGTACAAGGACCGTGTAGGGTCAACATATCATGTACATTATATTGGAACAAGAAACCACACTACAGATCATGGTGTACAAGGACCGTGTAGGGTCAACATATCGTGTACATTATATTGGAACAAGAAACCATACTACATTATTCCTACATTCCAGATTTAAGTTTATGCTAAAATATTCCAACTTGCAAAATCATAATTTAATAACACGTGATACTGCAGGATAAGCAGGTTAAATCTTATTAGATACTTTGCATGTATCCACATTGTATATATATTCATAAAATACAGTAATGCAAAATAGAGGAGAAAAGGAACCTCGTTCACCGCACTAAGGTTTATCAAAAATAAGGAGATAACTCTGTTCAAATATACCAAAAATAATATTAATAAATTGATTACGATATCAGTAAAAACTGGAAAAACTGTAAACTGGAAAATTGTTCACTGGCAAAATTGTCAACTGAAAAATTTTCAACTGGCAAAATTTCAACTGGCAAATGTCAACTGGCAAATTTTCAACGGGTAAATTTTCAACTGGCAAAGTAGTCACCTGGCAAAATTTCAATTGGCAAATGTCAACTGGCAAATTTTCAACGGGTAAATTTTAAACTGGCAAAATTGTCAACTGGCAAAGTAGTCACTTGTCAAAATGGTTACCTGTAAACTTTTTCACATGACAATGAGCAACATGGCAAGTTGATACATGGCAATGTGACACTAGCAACTCGCTGCAATGCAGTATCCAGTATCCAGTATGTAGTAGTTGTTATCCAGTATGCAGTAGCTGGTATCCAGTATCCAGTATCCAGTATTAAGTATCCAGTATCCAGTAATCCAGTTTGCAGTAGCTAGTATCCCGTATCCAGTATTCAGTATTAAGTATCCAGTATCCAGTGTCCATAATCCAGTATCCAGTATTCAGTATCCAGTATCCAGTGTCCAGTATCCATGTTATCTAGTATCTATTATCAAGTATCTAGTATCCAGTATCCAGCATCTAGTATCCAGTATCCAGCATCTAGTATCCAGTATCCAGTATCCAGTATCTAGAATCCAGTATCCAGTATATAGTATCTATGTAGTCCCCACGTAAAGAATTTTATTGAAAAGATATTTGCCTGGCAATCTATATATGAATTTGGCTTGTCTGTCTGTCTGTTTGTTTGTTTGTATCCAATAAACGTCAAAACGGCTGAACCGATCGGGCCCAAATTTTTTGTGGGACATCACGTCACCACAGGGAAGGTTTATGAATGATCAAAATTTCAAATATTTGTCTCCATCAACTTTCGATCTTCATTAAATTTTTGAAAACTTTGAAAATCCACGAAATTTTTTTGTGAAAATCCGGGAATTTTTGTTGTTTTGTTTTACGATGTACACAAAGAGAACATGTTCACAATTAATTTAGAGGCTTATAGTTCTGTAAAACTTCAATGAGATGCTCAACGAACAATATTTATAATATATTAGAGGAATTGTAAAATTATTATTGAGTATTCCATCATATTCTAATCTGACTCATCTCTCCTTTTTATCTAGACAAAGGGAAAAGGCTAAATTTACGCAGAGTTACTGGTACAACTTTGTGACCTCGTAGCTCCTCTAGTCTCAATTTTCATCCAAACATAAGAAAAAGAAATTTATTTGGTTGCATTTTAGAAATTCAAAACTTTTTGATTTCTTCCTCAACTATTATTTCATTAATCCTTTTTCTCTTTTTTATATTTTTCCCTTTTTGTCTTCGTTTCTATATTGTGAGTTATGACAATTATAATTATTCTTTTCATTTATTTTCTAAATAGTTATTCAGGTTTAACAACAATATTAATTAACAGATTCTAATGAGATTTGACAATTTTAACGCAAGGACATTAAAACCCCTGGTTCCATTTTAAAGATTCCAAGTTTAAGAAATCTGTATCCGGGATTAGGGTTTTAGAAACCTTTACCAAGGATTAGGGTTTCTGAAACCTGTATCTTGGGTTAGGTTGCAGAAACCTGTATCTATAGGTTTAAAGGTATTAAGAAACCAATCTCCAAGATCAAGCTTTACAGAAATCTTTATTTGGAACTCTTTTATCACATATTTTAGCTCTGCAGATATCTCCATTGGATGTACATTGCTTTCTTGTAATTTGATCAGCTGCACCTATACATTGTTACATATGAGAAGATATCTTACAAATATAGATTAAGCTTTACAGAAGCTTTTCTTAGGAACTTGTTTATCACAAATCTTTGCTCTGCAAACATCTCCGTTAGAAACACACTGTAGAAATGTTATCTGATCTGCTGCACCTGAACAAGAAGAACTCTCAGCTAACTCAAGGCTTGAAGTACATATGTCTCCTTTAAACTGCTCACATCCCTTAGCTGAGATAAGTACAGGGTTTCCCAAGCAGAAATCTTTGGGATATTGTGCGTCTAAAAAATGAATGTATAAGCAATTTCAGATTTCTACTTTGAGCAGCTTTTTAACCTAAAACTGAACATTTGCTACATCAACCTTTTCTTGATTAAAGAGACCTTAGATATTTCAGATCTAGGTCTGTAGGGTAGCACATAGAGCAGTTTTAAACTTGGAGCAACCAAAACTTGAAACCAGGACAGGGTTGGTTAAACAGAATTCTTTAAAGTAAACTACATCTGAACAACAACGCATTTAAAAAACCAACAGTAATTTTCTATTTTTAAATCTTAAATCAAAACAAAGTTTTTTTTCCGAAATAAAACCATTTGATGATCATTCCTACGATCTCAATGCATTTATCAGGACATCTGAATATATCAGAGGTTAAGGCATTTTTTAGGGTACAGGACATCTGAATATATCAGAGGTTAAGGCATTTTTAGGGTACAGGACATCTGAATATATCAGAGGTTAAGGCATTTTTTAGGGTACAGGACATCTGAATATATCAGAGGTTAAGGCATTTTTTAGGGTACAGGACATCTGAATATATCAGAGGTTAAGGCATTTTTTAGGGTACAGGACAACTGAATATATCAGAGGTTAAGGCATTTTTTAGGGTACAGGACATCTGAATATATCAGAGGTTAAGGCATTTTTTAGGGTACAGGGCATCTGAATATATCAGAGGTTAAGGCATTTTTTAGGGTACAGGGCATCTGAATATATCAGAGGTTAAGGCATTTTTTAGGGTACAGGGCATCTGAATATATCAGAGGTTAAGGCATTTTTTAGGGTACAGGGCATCTGAATATATCAGAGGTTAAGGCATTTTTTAGGGTACAGGGCATCTGAAAACATTCAGAATTTTGTGATTACTCATAAAATATAAAAGTAGGCCTTCTTGCATACTTTCCAGAATTTTTTAGAAACCTTTAATAATGAATTGATAACCTTCAACCACCGTTCATTTTCTTGCATTACATAAAAAAGAAAGGATCTATCGTGTCACCACAAAAATATTCGATGACGTCATGTCATCATTATAACAGTTTGCTCTTCTAGCCGACAAAATAAGATGTCATCTGGTTAAAATAAACTTCTGCATTGCTCAGTGCCTGAGAGCAAAACTTTTGAATCTTAGACGCTAAATGCCATAATATTTGGTTTAGGTCTCTAGCATTTTCATCGATGGGCCATTTGCTGAGAAAAACAGCTCAATCTTATAACTAAAAAGTTTACACTGAGGATATTTAGTTGCTGAAGGTAAAAACGAAAGTTTCGCCATTTAAGAGATAAAAAAAATAAAGATTTAAACCTGCGCATGGCGGACTCAATGCTAGCTTAACATCCAAAGAACAAATATCTGCTAAATACTTCTGGCATCCTTTAGCAGAAACAAGAACAGGGTTGGCAACACAGAACTCTTTGGGGTAGAGAGCATCTAAATTGTATTTATGATTTGTAAGTATAAAACAGCTTTAGATTTGAAAAAGGGAAACCAAAAGGAAAGCCCAAGGAAAGCCGAAAGGAAAGCCAAAGGAAAGCCTAAAGGAAAACCAAAAGGAAAACCAAAAGGAAGGCCAAAATAAAAGCCAAGGGAAAGCCAATGACTACACCTATAACTGCAAAACCTTTAAGTAGAGCTAACTGGATACTACTAGCACATACTTTAGTAGGATATTCTGTACCTGCACAAACTTCAAGTAGAGCAAACTGGATACTGCTAGCACATACTTCAGTAGGATATTCTGTACCTGCACATCCTTCAAGTAGAGCAAACTGGATATTACTAGCACATACTTCTGCAGGATATTCAGTACCTGCACATCCTTCAAGTAGAGCAAACTGGATATTACTAGCACATACTTCTGCAGGATATTCAGTACCTGCACATCCTTCAAGTAGAGCAAACTGGATATTACTAGCACATACTTCTGCAGGATATTCAGTACCTGCACATCCTTCAAGTAGAGCAAACTGGATATTACTAGCACATACTTCAGCAGGATATTCAGTACCTGCACATCCCTCTAGCAGCGCAAATGTGAGACTGCTGGCACAAACTTCGGCTGGATACCGGTTACCTGCACAAACTTTTCTAGTAGCATATTCTGGGAATTCTATACAAACTGCAGCTGGGAATTTACAAGCTGGAGTATCTATTAGATATGGATTCTTGAAACATTGATCTACTGATAATCCGTTCCTAACAGATGAAGGAGAAGGTTACCTTGGCATACTTTAAGACCAGCAATCTCAGGGTATTTAATACATATATCCACAGGGTAAGAGTAATCATAATTTCTGCAATGAACTGTTCCAGCAGTTGTAGGATTTAAAACACATTGCTCTTTAGTTAGACTATTCCTAATGTCAAAAAATAAAGGGTAAGGATGCGAAAGAAAAATTATCATCTTTAAAAATGAAATTTTTTTCAAAATCAAAAATTTAACACGATCCCCTTCATTCCTTGCTTTGTATCCCAGGCCATTAGGATGTTCTCCCCAGGCCCAGGAGTCAAATTCTTCAATAGGATCCACAGGAAGCAAACTTTGAAGCTTAATCTAAATAAACAATATTCATAAATCTACTTTGAAGCTTAATCTAAATAAACAATATTCTTAAATCTA